ATATATATATGTAAAAAAGTAGAACAATAATTTGTCGAATTAAATTTTTTTATGTTAGTTGAATGAAAAATTATGCTCAGAATAATAATTTATTATTTTTTAAATTAATTTAATTAAAACATCAAATTTGATAAATAAATAAATAAATAAATAAATATTATTCATTTTTTTTTGGTTTCAGGTATATTTTTATATTGCTGATTTTTTAAAAATCCCAATTTAATAATAAAAATTGCAATAATATATATATATATATATAGTTAATATACATTTCAGTATTTTAAACTTATGTACATTATTAAATAAAATTATGTGATCATGTATAAAAATTTAAGGGAAGTAATAAATAAATAAATATATATATATATACACATAATTAATTTTCAATGTCTAATTAATAAATTAATTAATTTTTTTATTTTATTTTGTAAATTTTTATTTATTAAAATTAATTGTACCGATAAATATTTACCTTTTTTTTGTTTTATATTTTGCCTCTCGATAAAAGTTAAAATTTTTTATTATGTAAAAAATAAAAAAAAACAATGTAAATTTATTTTTAAAGTTATGTATGGGGAAAAAAATTTAATGAATTCACTGCCATTTATTTATTTATTTATTTATTTTGTTTTGATTTGGTATGGTAATGAAAGCTCATAAATAAAAGGTATCAGGTTTTTTTTTAAAAATCAAATTACATATTATTATTATTATTTAATGAATTTTTATAATTATTATAAATGCTCATTTATTTTTATTGTTTTCCTAAAACATGTAATAATCATTATTAAAATTTTAATTTTATGATTTATATATAAAATAAAATATTGGATTGGAAATAAATTTTAGAAAATAAATAAATAAATAAATAGATTAATTAATAAGTTGGTTTTTTTTTTAATTATCCTGCCTAAATATCCTGACCGTTATTTTGAAAACATGATGGTTTTTTATGTAAATAATTAAAATGGTCATGGGAAAACATTTTGCAAGTACTTTTTAGTCTTTTATAAAATTTTAATTTAAACCTTTAAAAATTCAAAAAAAATAAATAAATAACAACATGGGTGATTAACGAGTGATTATAGTAGACGTTATCTTATTAAAAACGTTTACGTTTTTTTTTTTTTTTTTTGTCATATCAGTTTTAATCACAGCTTGTTCGAATTAATAATTTTTTTTTAATATCCATAAAGTATTTAATATATTTAAATTTATTTAATTCGTAGAAATTATCAATGTAAAAAACGTTAATGTGGCCGGTACTTCTTTATACAATTTTTAAAAAATGACATTTTCCACGTCACTTTTAGATATTCTATTATATGTTATTTTTTTAACTTGCATATTGTTCGTTTTGGTAAGTAAATTTATTTGAAATTATTTTAATTCCTGATTTTAATGGTTATTTGCATTTGCATTTTTAAAATTTACTTTCTGATATTCCCTACAGTAGTTAAATTAAGTAAAAAAAAAATTTCTAGGGTTATGTATTAAACATAATATTTTTTGTTTCAGTTGTGCATTGTGGTAAAAAAATATGTACAACCGTATCCGGATATATACAAGACAAAAAAGGAAGAAAGTTTTTATGATCCTGTTGTGAAAAAAACACAAAAGTTTCCCTCTCTTAATGATTCCTTTAGTGTGCATTTAAGTGTTGTTGTACCTGCTTACAATGAAGCCAAAAGACGTATGTTATATTACACTATTATCATTATTATTAACATGGTTATGTACGATTAAAAGTATATTATGAATGAGAAAATTTTTTTTGTTTTTTAGTTAAACCTATGTTAGACGAATGTTTAAATTATTTGGAAAATCAAAAATCAGGTGACAGTTTCAAATATGAAGTTATTATCGTCAGTGATGGTTCTACGGATAAAACAGTTTCAATTGCAATGCAATATTGTGAAAAATATGGCACTGATAAAGTCAGAGTGTTAGAATTGGAAAAAAATAGAGGGAAAGGAGGAGCAGTTTGCTTGGTAAAAATTAAAAAACAAAATACAAAATACAAAAAAATTAAAAAATAAAATAAAAAATATGCCACTTACCTTTCAGGGTGTTCAAAGCAGTAGAGGTGCTTTAATATTATTCGCTGATGCCGATGGTGCTACAAAATTTGAAGACATTTCTAAATTAGAATTAGCTATGAAATTATTAATAAAATGTAATTTAAACAACATTATTATTCTTTAATGAGTTTTTATAAATTTCACTTGAAAGATTTTTATTAAAATTCATAAATTTTTGGTTTAATACATTAATATAATCATTTTAGGTAATTATAAAGAGTACCCTGAACTAGCATCTAACTCAGATGGTATAATTTGTGGATCAAGAGCTCATTTAGAAAAAGAAGCAATTGCTAACAGATCATTTTTTAGAAACATTCTTATGCATGGTTTTCATTTTTTAGTGTGGTTAACCGCTGTAAGTATTTAATTTAAAATTTATTAAAAATGAAAACGATTTTAAACTTCATAAGAAAATTTTAAAAATTGCTACTACTAGAATATTTAAAAAAACAAAACAAATTTGTTTAAATATTTAACAATTATTTCATGTAATGTAGATAAATTTAGCTTTTAAGTTATTTCGAAAATTCTTTTTGATAGGTTCGAACAATAAAGGATACACAGTGTGGATTTAAAATGTTTACAAGAAGAACAGCAAATAAATGTTTTCAATCTTTACATGTTCAGAGGTGGGCATTTGATGTGGAGCTACTTTACATTGCTGAAAAATTAGAAATCCCTACTTCTGAAGTTTCAGTTCGATGGACGGAAATTGAGGGTTCAAAACTTGTTCCAGTTTTATCTTGGCTTCAAATGGGTAGAGATTTATGTTTAATATGGTTTAAATATAAAATTGGGGCTTGGAAGTTAAAAAATTAATTAATCAAAAAAATTATTTATCACAATAATTAATATTAAAAAATTTTTTATATGAGTTTAAGTGCAATTTTTTAATTTTACACAAACTCGGTATTTGTTAAATTTTTTATATTAAAATTTTTTTTAATAAAATTCTGTAGACTTATTATAGAATAATGAAGAAATTTAATTTGTTAATTTTCTTCGAAACAAAGCACATTCTTTTTTACTAAATAAATTTATTTATTATTTTTGAATTTTATTTTATTTTATTAATATGACCTGTCATTATATTGCACTAGTTGGAAAAATTTAAATTTGATAAAAAGAAATAATGGTTGAAAAATCTGAAAATCTCAATTCATAATTAAATTTTGATTAATTTTAATTTTTAGAAAATATGTTTTATAACCTTTAACCAAATAAATTTTATTAAAAATTGATCTGAAAATCAATATTTTTTTTTGAAATTTAAATTATTATTTTATAACTTAAATAATAATTTAAAATAATAAAATTTGTCTGTAATGGAAACCATATTTTAAAATTATTATGTAAGTTAAAACGAACGAAAAGCCTAATTAATTTTAAATAAATAAATTTAAAATTTATTTTAAAATTTTTAGTAAATTTTTATATTGAAGTTTTCAATTAACGATGCTATAATTTAAGATGAACACTTCGTTACTTATCATTAAAAATTAATGACAAACTTTTTTTTTTGAAATTATCGTGGAATTAGATTTTTACAAAACGGTTTCAGTATAGTATACTTAAATGTATGGCGTAAATTATTGTAATAGTAAAGAAATGTTAAGGAAAAAGAAATACAATGTAATTATAAAAGATTATTTATTTTAAGAGAGAAAACAAACAGTTGTTTTTTGATAAAAATAAATCCTTAAAAAATTTTTTTTCATACGTATTATTGTTTGTAAAGAAGTAAACATTCGAATCTGAATTTTGTGAATCAAACTGATATTTGATAGTAAATGTAACAGTCATGTCCTAACTACAATATTCAATTTAGAAATTAAGTATTAGAGAATGATTGGAAGGAAAGAAAAAATAGCAGTTTAAATAAGCTGCTTATAAAGTATTATATAGTGAACTAAAATGTAATTAAAAAGTTAATTTGATTATTCTGACTACGATTTATTTTCTTTTTTTATTGAAAGTTTGGATTAACCAAAAAAAATTTTTACTATGAGTGAATCAAGTAAGAGTTTGTAATTAAATTTTTTTTTGTATTAGTATATTAGTTGAAAAAAAATTGGTTTTGTTGTTGTTTTTTAAAAAAATCTAAATGTTTTACTTTGTTTAATTTAAGTAACATATTGAACCTATTGTTTACTAAAAATAAATTGAATAATGGTTAATAATTATTAGTAAATTAATTAATATCCCTAAAAAAAATATTGTAGGTAAAATAAAAAGGTCTATTAGTCCTCAAATAGGATATAGATTTGATGCGATTAGTAAAGAATTAGAAGAAATTTCACCTGTTTCAACCAAAGACACTATTAAAAAAGAAGATGTTAATTCAGAGACTAAACTTTCATTTTTACCAATAGGAAGTTTAGAAAAATCTCATAGCAGAGAAGAAAAAAGTGAGACTCATAATGATTGTTGGACCTTTTCAGGAAGATCTATAAGTGTTGATTGTACCTATGAGTCTCCTTTTTCAAATCCTTTCGAATCTTGGAAAAAATTAACTAGAATTAGAGGAAAATTAAATAAAAATCATGAAGAAAAATTAGCCGAATTACAGTCAGACAAGAAAGAATTGAATAAAAATACTCCTGCTAAGTTAACGAGCAGTAAAGATAATTCCAGTATGTCAGATTCTGAAGATACATCAGAAAGTTCTAAAATTTCAGAACAATGGAAAGACTCGGAAGATTTAAATTTATCACTTAAAGAAGTTATTAATAAAACTAACGACATGCTTTCAACAACTTTAGATGCAGCCTTACAAAATGCAAAGTCGGAAATAGAAGCAGAATCGGAACTTCGACACAGAGTTAATCAGAAAGAGGTTCCAGATTTTTTGAAAATTTCACAAATTAAAATAATAACACCAAAAACTGATAACAATAATGTATTGACCTCCAGTAATGTGTCTGATGAAATTGAATCAGGTGTTGAAGCTGATGAAAATTTTGATTCCACATCGGGAGATGCACTTGATGATTCATCCATTCAAATGACTCTTGGAGGTTCGCAACCACCACCCAATAGAAATGAAATATTATCAGTGTGTGCAAATATTTTCAGTACAATGCAATCTCCTGAAATGTACACAATTACGTTTCTGATTGGAATTAGTATTCTTGTTTACATGCCAATGTCCGATTTCGCAAGAGGATTTGTTTGTTGTTTATTAATAGTATTGTTTTGTTTAAAAATTAAAAATTATTTACATATAGACGACATCGTTCATCAAGGATCTTGCGCTCCAGATTACAAAAAATTACCTCCATTAAAAATACCTTCACCTAAAAACGTCGACGGGGTAGGAATCTTTTTTTTTTTTTGTTTTTAAATTTATTATCGAACCCACGTAAATTTTTTTTTTTTTTTTTCAGGTGTGGGTTAATGAATATTTGCATCCCTTTTACGATCCAGATTATTATTCCGTTTCTCAAACTACTCCTGCTTATTTAGAACTCGATAATACGATATTAAAACTTTCTCGGCCTAAAGGGAAAATTCGTAAAAGAGCGACTTTTGACGAACCCGAGTATAAAATGCAATTCATTAGTCAACGAATTTACAACATTGGCGGTTGCAACGTGTTTCTCATGCCCGAAGGTTTAACAAAAAAAAGGTACAACCATCAACGTTCATATTAATACCTGATAAATTTTCAACTAACAAACTCACATAAAACCCATATTTCAGATTGTACAGTAAAAAGTATCCCATTGTCATACATTTAAAATCTGATTCATTCATCGGGGAAAGAATGAAAGAAAAAGATGGTGAAAACAAAGAAAATACAGAATCGATAGATAGCGTAGATACCGGGTTAAATTTGACACTAAGTAATCACTCTAAAACTAGTCTATATATATTTGCAAGGTGTGACCGACAAAAGGAAGAATGGTTGGTATTTACAATGAATACTAAAATTTGTATTTTTTTTTTTTAATAATAATAATAATAATAATAATAATAATTTACTTTAATAGGTACAGACGATTATTGTCAGCAAGTCGAGCCGTCAACACTCCAGAACAGTCCACTGAAAAACCTTTCGGAAGAAAAAACGAAAACGAGTCGTTAAACGAAAGTCCTAAAAAAGATGTTTCGACTCCTTTTGAAAAATTATATTTCGATCCCGACACGGCTCAAATCGATGAATATTTACAATATATGGCCAAATTCGTCGACGTAAGTTAAATTACAAAATTTTAAATTGCAATGACAATTTAAAAAAGGATAATTATAAAAAAGAAAAAATTTTATTAATTATTCAGGAGAAAATCAGTTTGCAAAATTACAAGGTACCTCGAAGTGATAGCGGAAGCGATGAAAGTAGTAGTAGTAGTAGGACGTATTCGAAAATGGAGACGCAGTGGTTAAATGCATTTTTAAATAGGATTTTATTCGACGTTTTTCGGAGTCCATATTGGCTATCAAAAATTCAAGAAAAAATACATAAAAAATTAAATTCCGTTAGAGTGAGTTTTGTATTTAAAAAAAAAAAATTCAACTTGACCGATGGAGTATCGTCGTAATTTTAATTTTTTTTTCTCTCTCTCTCTCCTGTAGTTACCGTACTACATCGAAGACATTGAAGTCATTGAATTGGATTTGGGTAAAACAGGTCCGATTATTCATAAAGTTTCTCAACCTTACATTGACGAATGTGGATTGTGGTTCGACATGGACGTGACATTTGAGGGATTGATAAAATTAACAATTCAAACTCATCTCAATCTTGTTAAACTTCAAAAGGGAATCGAAGAAGAAAGAGAAACGTTGAGGGATTCAATTGATAATAAAGTGTGAGTTTTTTTTTTTTTTTTTTATAAATAATAATTAACAATTGTCGTTTGCGGCGGGGATTTATTCAATTCAACAAGGATTTTTTTATTAAGAAAGTTTTTTTTTTTTATAATCGAAAGGCTCTTTGATTGTTTATATAAAAAAATTTAAAAAAAAAAAAATTGTTTTGATTTAGGGAAAAAGGAAAGAAAAAATCAAAAATATTGAGAGAACGTTCGTTGACCAAAGAATCGTGAGTTTGATTTAATTGCTTTTTTTTCTCTCTCTCTCTCTCTCTCTCTCTCTCCACTTTTTGCTTTTCGGCTTTTAGTTTTTGTATTTTTTTTTTTTTTTTTTTTTTTTGATTTTGATGTAGTTGATTTTTGTATGTGCACGTTAAAAAAAAATTTGATATGAAAAAAAAAAAAAAGCTTTGTTGGGTTTTATCACATTGAGTTAGTTATTTTGATATCGGCTCGTTTTTTTTTTTTTTTTTTCGGGTGATAATTTTTTACTTTTGTTAATTTTTAAACGTAAAATTTACACAAAAAACAAAATGGTTTGATAATGTTTAAAATTTTGAAGCTCTTTAACCCCGAACAAAGTCGAAAAATCGTCAGAACTTAAAAACAACGAATCCGTTGAAAATGAATTTGAAAAATCAATAACGAAAACGCCGCCGAGTTCGACATCAAGTTCCCTCACCTACGAATCTAAATTGTATCGCGAAATAAGAAAAGCAGCTGAATTAATCATTAATAGGGGACTTGAAAGTATACCCGAGTAAGTTTTCCAAACTCAAATCCTTTTTATCGCTTTTCCCGCCCCCCCAAAAAAAAAAGAACAAAAAGTTCGGAAAAAATTCGAACGAAACGTTTGTTCCTCCGTGTGTGTTTTGTTTGTTTGTTTTTTACACGTTTATGCGATTGCAATTAAAAAATTTTTATAATTAATTATTATTATTATTAGTATTATTATTATTATTTTTTTTATTATTATTATTCGAATACTAACCCGTGCAATTACACGCGTGTGAAGAAATGAATTCGAATCCGAATTGGAAAATTTTCCAAACGATGATGAGGAAAAAGAAAATTCGTAAGTTTTTTTTTCTCCAGTCCTAGTCCTAGTTCTTTATTTCGTAGTGACGTCATCGTTATTGTTTACAACAAACGATTTCAACGATTACAATTATTATTATTATTATTAATATTTTTTATTTTTATTCCGTGGAAGCAGACGATCTCCCATTTTCGACAGCGAAGTCGAAGATTCTGCAGAATCGTCGGACGAAGAATTGGACGATAACGAAAACGAATCCACTCCTTCCGCGTCGGCGACAAATCAAGACAACGATGTCTCTTCGTGAGTGATTTTTTTGGGAAATGAGTTTTCCCGACGGAATAATAATAATAATAATAATAATAATAATTTTTTTTTCGTGACAGGGTCGAATCGCATTTGAGAAGGTATCCGAAAAATCGGAGGTCGAGCAAAAAATTATTTCGCATGTTTGAAAACGTGGCTCAGTCGAAATATTTCAAATCCGTTGCCCAAACGAAATACGTTCAAAAAGCCATAGCGAACGTGTCGGCCACGAATCTCAAATTAACGTTGGAAATAAAAAGTTGTAGCGGTACGCTTGCCGTCAATATACCGCCACCGCCGAGCGATAGATTTTGGTGAGTTTTCCGCCCCTCCTCCTCCTCCCCTCCCTCTCCCCCTCACGTTCCCGCCCCTTCAGCAAAAGGAGGGAAAGAAAAATATTATTATTATTATTAAAGTAACGTTTTTTTTTTTTTTTTTTTTTTTTTTTGCGTATTTGTGTTCCAGGTACGGATTTCGCGAAATGCCGTTTCTTGTATTTTCAGCGAATCCTAAAATAGGAGAAAAATCCGTGAGGTTTTCACACATAAAAAATTACTTGCAAAAGAAAATTTTACACGAATTGAAGGTAATAATAATAATAATAATAATAATAATAATGATAATAAATTTTCCGGAAAATTAAAAAGGAAAAACAACAAAGAAGAACAAAAAAAAAAAAAAAATTTTGTCGTTTACTAGCGAATGTAACGAAAGTTACCCTCGTATCGTACACGTGGGGGAGGGGCGGGTGGGGAGAGGTAGAAATCATTATGCCGGGGGGAGGGGGTGGGGGTGTGGGGACAAAATGGAAAAATTTGGGTTTTAAACTCAACTTTATTTACGTTTAGAAAGCCATGGTGGTGCCCAACATGATCGATTTGGTTTTGTTCACGTCGTCGCCGAAGGAAAATGTAAATTTTGAAAAATCAGACCGGAAATCAAAGAAAAACGACGACGAAAAAGAAAAACGTCAACCGGAAACGTCAACGTCGTCGGAGTGAGAAAATAATAATAATAATAATTTTATTAATTTTTTGTTTAAAAGAAAAGAAAAAAGGGCGTTAATAAATTCTTCCAATTTTTTTTTCTTTTTTTTTTATACGTTTCGAAGTATTATTATTATTATTATTATGTTAACGATTGTGATTTTTATTGTTCTCTCTATTTTAGTCTTTCTCTCTCTCTCTCTCTCTCTTTCTTTTTATCTAATTAACAATTAAAGGTTGTGTTTTATTTACAAAAAAAAAAATCAAATCACATTTTTTAGGTGAATCCCCGAGATTTGATAAGAAAAGAAAAAAATAAAAATTTCATATAAAGTTCAAAGTTGAAAAAAATTGTTTTTAAGACAAAAATATAAGTAGTAATAATAATAATAATAATAATAATAATAATAATAATAATAATAATCCGAGGACGAATGACGTCAAAAAAAAAATAATAATAATAATAAAATTTCAAATTTTAAATGTGAATTTTTTTTTTTTTTTTTGTTTTTTCCGGATTATTTGCCGTGCGTGATTTTACGCAAGGTCATGTGAAAATGTATACGCAGGTTTACGCGTGTACGCACACACGTTTCGAACGTCCGTCAGAATAATAATAATAATAATAATAATAATAATAATAATAATAAAAAGCCAACGGCCATAGCGTGCTGGTCACACCGGTTCCCGTACGATCACCGAAGTTAAGCAGCATCGGGCGTGGTGCAAACTTGGATGGGTGACCGTCTGAGAACGCCACGTGCTGTTGGCTTAAAAAAGAGCAAAAAAAAAAAAAAAAAAAAAAAAATGAGAACAAGACAAAGTAAGAACCAAAAAACAAATCTTGTTCTACTGTCGACCTGAGGCAGCTCGACGAGAATGTGAATTTCACTGCTTCTGATCCTGGCCACTCCAAAGATGTTAGTCACCGGAGCCCAGTTCAGGAGACAAATCGTTCCCATCGAAAAAAAAGACGGACTCAGGAAGACTTTCAAGAATTGATGTGGTGCTATCTTATAATAATAAGTGGCACCACCGAAATTCGAGTATTTGTCCCTAAGGAATCGGGTAGAAACCTCGGATAAATACTTAAAAACTCCGACAAGTAGCCTTGTCGTGTTTAATGGTGGATAATAATAATAATAATAATAATAAAAATTTTAATTAAGACAAACGAAAACGGAAAAAAAATCAATCGAAAAAGATAAGCGTGTGAATGAAATATAGGAACCGAAAAACAAAAAATATTTATTCTTGTATCACCGTTATTATCATTATCATTATCATCATTATCGTACGGATTTTCATTCATTCATTCATTCATTTTTTTATTTCATATAAAAAAAAAAAAAAAAATTTTCATTCGATTAATAGAAAAAAAATATTTTAAGAGTGTAAGAAAGAGAAAGAGAAAACTTTGTATCGACATATTTATATTTTTATATTATACATTTATTAATTGATGTTCTTCCGAATGTGGGGGACCGTGGGTGCGTGCGTGCGAGCGGGAAGAAGGGGGAGGTCAAGGGGGTAAAGTCAGAAATGTCCCTTGAATTTTTCCAACACGAAAACTTCCAAAAAAAAATTTTAAATAATCAAAATAATTAATTCGAGTGTATGTTATTAAATTAAGTCCCCCCCCTCCCCCCGATGGTTGTTTTCTCCCTTTCGTGATATTAATTAGTAATAATAATTAATAATAATAATGATAATTATGGAGTGATATTGTGCCACAACTTTGTATTTTTCATTTTTTTTTTTTAATGTATATTTTAATGGAAATACACTTAAATTGTGAATTTTTTTATTATTATTATTATTTATTATTGTAATTCGAATGTAATTTAAAAAAAGGAAAAATATTGTTTGATAATAATAATGATAAAATCGGATATTAGTATTATTATCATCATTAATAATTTTTTTTTTTGTAAATATATATAATTTTAATCAATACACGTAAATATTTATTTTGTCGTACTATTTTCTTTTTTTTTTTTTTTAATTATTTAAACCGATTTTTAATTTGTTTAAAATTTTAATGACGTCATAATGAAAAACTATCCCTTCGCGTACCTTAATTATTTTTCCAAAGGCTAAAAAACGATTATAAAAACGATTAAAAATATAAATAATTCGTATAATTATCAACAAAATACGATAATGATAATAATAATAATAAATATTTATTTCGTCGATTTCGTCGTGGGATTAGATAATATATAAAAAGTATAATAATAATAATTTTAAACTTACCTTTTTGCTGACCCCGTGACGTCATAAAAACTAAGAATTTGCTTTTTCAAAAACTTTTCCTGTGGGAAGATAGAAAAAAAAAAAAAAATTAATTAATCATTATTGAATATGAATCGGGTGACGTATTGATAAGGGTAAGGATGATAAGGTCAAAGGGCAAAAGGATAGTCAGGTGTATTATCGTAAAATGTTTCAACTCACTTCTTAACAATTCGTCCAAATCATCGTGTTCGTAAAAGGTAACAAATTCTTCCGGTTGTAAACCTTCGAAAACGGATACGACGCTCGCTTTTAAATTGTAAAAAAGCAAAGGTTGTTTCCTTTGTACAAAATCCCGACTTAAACTTTCTATAACCTACCGGAAATAAATTCATCGATAAATCGTTATTGTTTCCTTTGATGTTAAAAGAACGAAATGGTCACGTGATTACCTTTGCTGCGGTAAAATCAGCACCGTATATATGAGAACAATCAATAACGACAGGAATTCCTTGTTTTATGCTATGTTTCGTAACGATATTTCGTACGTAATCGACGGATGGAAATATAAGACATCGATCTGGTGTTAATCTTAAATATTCTATTCCAGATTTCGTCTGGAAAAACGGTTATTTTTTTACTCATCACGCTACAAAAAAATTCTCCAGCAATAATCAAAAAAAAAACTCACGGTAATTTTTTGCATGTGTATTTTCGGTCTCGCAGCATTATAAAGTAAAAATAATATTTGTATTATGATCCCTAATAAAATCCCAAATTCTAATTTTAAAACTAAACATGCTATAAATGTTCCAAAACCGGGAATCAAATCACTTTCTGGATAGAAAGAAAGAGAGAGAGAGAATAAAAAAATAAATTTAAAAAAAAAAAAAAATTTTTTTAAATTACTTTTGGTTCTCCACATGGGTTTAACGACTTTAACTTCCACCATGAAAACGACAGCAGCAATTATGACAGCAGCCAATGACGCTTTAGGTATGAAATAAAAATATGGCGTAAAAAATAAAAGTGCGACTATAACGATGACCCCTGGAAAACATAAAAACACGAGGTAAAACAACTCTGGCTGAAACCAAAAAAAAGGCTTACGGTTTCTAGGGGAGGAGGAGGGGGAAATGGGGAGGGGGAAGACTTTTCAAGGCGAAACCCAACCGAAAAAAAAAAAAACATTAAAAATGTAAACAAAGAATTAAAATTAATAACATCGTTTAAAAGTTTGAAATTTCATTGACGAGTATCGAGTAAGGTAATTAAAGTGTGAATAATAAAAAAAAAAACAAATTAAAGTGTGACGTCATTAATTTCTGTCGTTGATTTAATTTTTATGATGGTTATAAATAACGAGTTATGAGGATAAACATTTCGAGTACTTACCGGTGTAAAGACCACCGAGAGGCGTTCGAACGCCGCTAGCATTATTAACTGCACTCCTGGATAAAGAACCCGATCCTGGAAAACCTTGAACGAATGAATTACCGATGTTACATAAACCCATGGCAATAAGTTCTTGAGTTGCATCCACGGGTTTTCCAGATGCTGTCGAGAAAAAAAAAGGAAACGGTTTTCATACGTAATCGGAAAATTTTGAAAAGAAAAAAACTGGAAAAAAAGGATCTTACAAAAAGCTTTACAAATTGCTATATTTTCTAATAGTGCTATCAAGGGTAATATAATCAAATGAACACCCATATCCGTCATCATATCAATAAAACCAATATGTCTACCATCTTTATCAAATCCACCAAATGATGGTACTTTAAATTCCGGCATACCTTCCGGTAGGTATCCGGTTAATAAAAAAGGAGATTTTATCGATTCGTTCGTAAAACCGGTAAAATTAGTATACGTGGTAAAATCATCATCTTCATCCCCTCCATTTCCGAAATCATTATTTTGTGTCATGAAAAAATAACCTAAAAAACCTGATAATAAAACCAATATGGCGTTTCTCGATGACCCGACGATCCAAAATATTTTCGTTATTATTTTTTCCGATAAACTTTTTTTCGTACCATCTTTTGGACCCAATTCGAAATTTCCCAAACACTAAAATAATAATAATTAATTTTTTTTCTTTCTTTCTTTCTTTCTCGATTTTTCCAGGATTTCATCAACCAAACTCGAACTTTTCTTACCTTCATTATAAGAAGTATGACAATCGATGAAACGCCTAAAACCGTATCCCAAAGTCTTACGTCATTCATATTTTTAAATAATGATATCCACATTTCGAAAAATGTATTTCCCGTTTCCGCTATCCCGAAAATATCTTTTATTTGTGACGTGACGATGATTAAAGCGACGGCGGATGTAAATCCCGAACAAACAGGACCGCTGACGAAATCAATCATGAAACCTGAAAATAAATGAAATTAAAAAGGATTTCTAGAAGGTGAGAGAGGGAAAAATTTGGATTAACACGTACCTAATCCCACGATTCCCATTAAAAGTTGTATCAATCCGCTTATGAAACACAACAGCGTGGAATATTCAACTCCGTGACCTTGAACAGCTTGATATGTCATTATCGATATGATAGCTGTCGGACCCATGGGTACATCTTTACAACTACCAAAAATAATGTAAATCAAAGCACCCAAAAACGAACTGTAGAGTCCGTACTGGAAAAAAAATTTTTTTTTTTTTTCAGGATTCCGAAACAAAAAGAAAATTTTTCGGTTAGTCTACAAACCTGTGGTGGTAAACCTGCAATGCTGGAATAAGCTAAAGCTTGTGGTATGACGGTAAGACCGACGGTTAAACCGGCAACAAAATCACCGACGGCATCTTTGCTGTTGTATTTTGGTAACCACGTTAATATCGGTATCCTTCTCATCAACATTTTTTTCGTTAAACTTTTCCTTATTTTTTGTTTAAAACATTTTCTCAATTTTTTAAATTGATCTTTTCCGACTATTTTTTTTATTACGTCATCATCGTCTTCCATGACTGTAAAGAAAACAAAAGAAAATTTTTCTTTCTCCTCGAAATCGGGGTTAGGGGGAAAAGGTGAAAGTACTCACGAGTAAATTGATTACTTCCGAGTCCATCCAATTGTATTATGGTATCTTCTTCTTCTCCTTTTATTTTACCATCATCTACGAGTCCATTCCTGCTGGAAAAATCAACGGCGACGACATTTTCCGTTAATATTAATTCGCTCGTATTTAATCCGTTATTTTTATTCATTTTATTAACTCGAATATTTTTCTTTGAGTGATGAAAATTTTAAAAAGAAAAAAATACGACGATTATTTATTGTTAACTGAAAAACAAAAAACGAAAACAAAAAAACGATTTTTAATTACGAGTAATTATTACAGGTAATTTTTTCTTATAATTATCAACACAATCCGTCTATTATCATTTTTAAAAAAAAATTCTTTTTCCTCATAAAAATACGACGAAAACAACAACAACAACAGGAACACAAAAAAATACTTTTAAATTATATTTACTTTATCTAAATTCGTTGGGAGTTGGGAGTGAAGGGGGAAGGGGGGGAGGAGCATGCGAGAGGACACACAAGGGGGGCACAAATTAAAACAATTAAGACGACGCAAAATCCCCAAAAAAAAAAGAAAAAAAAGGCGTCTCGAATGTGATTGTCTTATGTGTCATAGTAAACGTCAATAAACGACGCAACCTAATTAACAGATAAACGGTTAAGAAGAAGATAATTGAAAACGTTTTGCAACGGGAAAAATGAGAAGTGGGAGGCGGGGAGAGAGGAGGGGAACGGCTCTGGGGAGAGGGAGGGTGCGTGGGAGGAGAGGGTACGGGGGTTTCAGGTTGAGTAAAAAAAATTAAATTAAACCGGTAAAGTTTTCACGGTCGAAATTTTACCGCCGACGCTAAATTCGAACCTCGATAAATTTAATTATTGATTAATTAATAATAATAATAATAATAATAATAATAATAATAATAATTTTTATTCGATACGTAAATTAATCGATCAATTAAAATGACGTCACGGAAATAAGGAAACGTAAAAAAAAAAAGAAACGACATCGTTTGTCTTTTGTGTCCGGAAGAATGTTTTTCTCCTCCCGTTGACATTTAAATAATTTATTATTATTATTATTATTATTATTATCATTATTATTAATTTTTAATTATTTTCCGAAAAAAAAGTAACCTTATTTTTATTTTCCCGAAGGTTTTTGCGTGTCAATAAAAAAAAACCTTAAAACCAAAAACATTCAAACAGGAAAAATTTAAATGTCCGTCTGATGACGGTTTTTTTTCCTCTTACCTTATTATTATTATCATCATCATCATCATCATCTCAACCGTCATTTTTTCCCGTTAATTTTAAAAAAAAAAAAAAACAAATAAATTTTTTTCTTAATTTTCCCTAAACTTTCCCGATTAAATCCGGAAAAACAAAAAAAGAAAAAAAAAGACGAAACCGAACGTGAACGTTTAAATCAGGTAAAAATAAAAATAAAAATCTTTTTTTTTTCGTACGAACTTTAAAGCCCAAATACCCGCGCATTCACGCACACACGCACACATTCTCTCACCGCACACGCACGCGCACGCACACACAAAACCGTTATCTCGTGTTTATTATGTTATATAGATAATTACTATAAATCCATTTTTATTTCATCAAACACGAAATTAAAAAGAAAAAAATAAAAAAATACATCTGACGAATTCGCCGCATTTTTCTCTTGTTTGTTATGACGTAGTTTGTCGTTGTTGTCGCAGACGACGTACAAAATAAATAAATAAATAAAAATCCGGTTTTTCCCTTCCCTCCCCCCCTCCCCCCGCAAACGAAAAATAAATAAATTTATTTTTATCTTTTATTGTTTTTTTTCTTTTTTCAAGCCTAAACTTCTCGCTTTTATTATTTAATAATAATAATAATAATAAACGTGATTTTTGTTTTGTTCGTCGAAAGGTTTTTCGTTAAACCTAAGAATAGAAAAAAAGTAAATGAATAATAATAATAATAATAATAATAAAAAAGGAATAAAATTTTATTTATCGTAATCGCACTACAATTATGAAAAAATATATATATATATATAATTAATTTTGTACACAGTTGATGGAATAATAAATAATAATAATATGTAATTAATTAGTAATTAATTACATCGGTAATAATAATAATTTCGACGATGACGTTTACTATTTATAATAATAATAATAACGATAATAATGATAATAATTTCGTTTTCGCTAAAAAAATTTTTTTTTTTTTCTTTCTTTCTTACAATCAGTCCATATTTATTTATTTTTTCTTTATTTTTTTTCTAATTTTTCACGTTCCGGCGACATGATGCTCTGAAAAAACAAATTTTTTTTCATGGAATTAAATTTTATTCGATTCTTCCAGACCTCTCCAGGGAAAAAAAAAAAACTTACGTTTCAAAAAATCATTCAATTCGTTTTCGTTTGTGCAATATATAAATTCTTTCGGTCTGAGACTGTGAAAAATATCAACTATGCTCGGTTTTAAATTGTAAAATAATATCGGCTGCTTTCGATTAACAAAATCGTCCATTAACGATTTGATTCCCTAAAATGGAAAAAAAAAATTCATTTAACGGAATCCAACAAACGACAAACAACAAACTTTCTATCGTTTAATACAATTCGTCTAAATCCTTTTCCATATGTTTGAAAAACGGAAAAAAGAAAAACTTATCGAGCTAATGAAAATATATATTACGTCACACATGTGACGTAGAATATACGTCAGTCACGTGACTTTATTAACGCATCGCAACCTTAAACTTAAATTAAAAGTAAAGATATACCGATTAACCTTAACAAAAAAAAAACCCGAGGTAATTAACCTTCGCGAACTTTTGTTTTAAAAAAAATGACATTTGAATGAAAACGTTTAAGCCATTTTTTTTTTTTTTTTTTTTTAATTAAACGAAACTTGTTTTTTTTTTTTTTTTACCTTGGCAGCCGTAAAATCCACTCCTTGTATGTGTTTGCTATCAATGACGACAGGTACGTAACTGGATCCTTGTTTAACGCCTGCTTTCGTAACGACGTTTCGTACATAATCAACAGAAGGAAACACGAGACTACGATCAGGAGTTATCCTTAAATATTCGATACCCGATAAAGTCTGAAAGGAAGGTAGGTACGTAGGTAGGTAGGTAGACAGACAGACAGACAGGTAAGTAAACAATTATTAAAGTAATTAATTCTTTTTTTTTTTCGAAAATATTAAATTAAATATTTTAAAAATTTTCTTTTACTTACTCTTTCTTTTTCGACTTGAACGCTCGGCCTTGCTGATGCGTAAAGTAGGAACAAAACGTTAATACTGATCCCGATGACGATGCCTAATTCTAATCTTATAAATAGGCAAGATAGAAAAGTTGCAAATGCAGGTATCAGATCGATCTCTGGAAGAAAAAAAAGAAAAATTTTTTAAATAAGGGAAATTAAAAGAGAGAGAGACAGAGAAAAACAACAGGACCGTATACTTACTTTTCGTTTTCCACATTGGTTTGACAACGTGAAATTCAACCATGAATACAACGGCTGCTATTATAACGGCAGCCAATGAAGATTTTGGAATGTAATAAAAGTACGGAGTGAAAAATTGAAGGGACAGTATAACGATGATACCTAAAACATGTCGTCGTTGTTTGTGTTCATTCCACGCAAAAAAAAGTCTCTTAATTTAATCTTTATATTATTACTCACCGGTGTATATTCCCCCGAATGTTGTTTGTACGCCGCTGGCATTGTTGACTGCACCTCTGGACAAAGCTCCAGTAACGGGCATGGAACCGACGAATGATGACGCGATATTGCACAAACCTATGGCTAACATTTCTTGCGTCGCATCGATTGATTTTCCTTTAGCTAAAAAATCATTTGGAAAGAAAAATTGTTAAATTTTTCCGTCGGGAGAGTGAGTTTATACCTGATAAATAAAACAAATACCGAAAACTTTGGCAAGAGAAATATTTTCCAAAATGCATAAAAGAGGTACGACAAGTATTGCTGATCCTAAATTACTGGATACTTCGGAAAATGAATACGTTTTGTTTCCATCAACTGCTCCGTAAAATGGAATGTGAAAACTTGGTAATCCACCTTTGACGGTGCCTGGAGGGGAGAGAAAAAAAGCAAAACAAACGTTTGTATTTCCCGTTAAAAAATGTATTAATATGGAGTGATATGTTGGCACACCTGTTAATACAAACGGTCCATCTTCACCTTCGACGTGGAAAGCGTACGCTAATATTCCACAGACTACAACCACGACGATGTTTCTAGAAGTCGATACGAGCCAGAGAAATTGAGATAAAAATTTTTGCATTTTTGTCTTCTCCTTAACATCTCTCGGACCGATGGGAATGTCTTTGATTTTCTTTTTTTTTAATAAAATAAATTTTTATTTCCTTTCTAGAAAGTTCTATCCTGAGAAATGAGTTATTACTCACCCTGAGCACCAACAAAACAATCATGCATGATATTCCTAAAATAGCATCTCCCATTCTGGTGTTGGATATGTTGCAGAAAATATTTTCCCAAACATCTAGAAAATTTCCACCGGGAAAAGACAATCCTAGAACATCTTTAACTTGCGATGTGGCAATTATAATAGCAGCAGCCGACGTGAAACCAGCCGATACAGGACCGGATATGAAATCAATTAAAAAACCTGAAAAAAAAAAAAAACATTTTTTTTTTTTAACTTTGTTTACATGATAAGTCAAAGGAAATGACGTAGTGAACGAACCTAATTGCAATATTCCCATGAGTAATTCGACACATCCGGATAGGAAACAAAGCAAAACGGCAAATTCCGGACCTAAACCGTGAAGATTTTCACGAGTCAATATGGCTGCTATTGCTGTCGGACCGATCGGACTATCTTTAACACTACCGAATATAGCATAAATGAAACAAGCCATGAACGATGAGTAGAGGCCATACTGTAAACATTTTAAAAATAAATAAAATCTCACGTTAAAATGGCGGTGTTCGTCCATCAAACTGTGTAAAACTGCTTACCTGGGGAGGTAATCCTGCTACGTTTGCATATGCTATGGCCTGTGGTATGACGGTTAAACCGACGGTTAAACCAGCCACCAAATCCGCAACAGCATAATTCAAACTGTATTGAGGTAACCATGATAATATCGGTACTCTTTTATATAAAAGTTTTTTCGTGCAACATTTTTTCACTTTTTTACACAGCCATTTTTTCGGACTAGAATTTTTTTCGAATGACGTCAATCGGGGTAAATTATTACTCTGATTATAATCCGAAAGTTTTACTTTTAAATGATTATCGACATTTGATGAATGATTTTCATTTTCTAAATTTAAACAAATACATAAATAAATATGTCAATAATTTTTACATGCGGGGGGGAGAGGGGAGGGAAAGAGAAGGGGAATCACCGTTTTAAAATAATTAACGGTTAAAACAATTGCCATTAAACAAAAATAAACAAAAATAAACAAACGATTCTTTTTTTTTCCTCTCTCGTCGTTCATTATAATTATAATAATAATAATAATAATAATAATAATAATTATTATTATTATTATTATTATTATTATTTGATGCAATGAAATTAATAAATCAATAAAAAACTTCTTTTTTTTTTGGCATTCGATATTATCGATGGCATTGAAGGTTTTTAACTCTCGCCTAAAACTTTAAATTTTCATCGTTTTGTATGACTTTTAATATTATTATTATTATTATTATGATTGATTAAAAATAATTTTTTTTTGTTAATTTATTGTATAAGATAAAATATAAATAAAATTTTTTTAAAATTACGTAATTTTCACTGCAAGGAAAATTTTAATATTTTCACGCGCGCGCGCGTTTTTTGTTTAAATACACGTCAAAAAGCGTGCAAAATTGATTTTAATAAATTTTCCGACTTATTTTTTTTGTCAGGTTTTTCATTTCTCTTTTTTTTATTATGCAATTGCAAATATTTATCGAAAAAAAAACAAAGTGTTTCCCGATAAGAATAACAACATGGGAATTTATTTAAAAACGATTAGAAAAAAGAAAAAGAAAATGGCACTTACTTTGTCCGCCATCATATTCGACATCTTTATTCCACCTCAAACTATTTACATTAATTAATATTTCGTTTGAATTATTATTCGTTGAATTATTAATTTCGTTATCGTTTTTTTTTTCGTGTCGCGTTTTATCATTTTCATCAATTGCTGCCACGTTTGTAAATCCGTTCGGCCCAATTGAACCACCATTACCACCGCCTTCTAAATCTTCCGAACAAGGAACGTACGACGTAAGAGCAACCGTGCTTTCACTTCGCTTGTCCATTTTTCAAAAAAATTTTCTTTTTTTTTTTACTTATTATTATTATTATTACTATTACTATTATTATTATTATTATTAATTTTATCGTTTTAAATTGTTTTCAACTCGTCGTCGATAATATTATTAACAATAATAATAATAATTAAAACTTTGTTTTTTTTTCTTGTCAGGAATTCAAAAATTTCGTTTTCTCACAACATCCGCCATTTATTAATGAGTCTTTTATTATCAATGATGATAATAATAATAACAATAATAATTGGGGCCGTTACGAAATCCTGAAATTTTCCAACGTTGCTTTTCGTTCTGGAACAAAAAAGAAAAAAAAAAAGAAAATTTAATTAACCTATAGGAATGAATGAAAGAAAAACTTTCGACGGTGAAATGAAAGATTAAAGAGCAACAAGACGACGGCAGCGTCGTTTTTTTTTTTTTCTTCCTCCATATTATTTAATTCAAGGTTAATTTTGTCAACAAAAAAAAATGTCGCGTGCTTCCGTTTGTCGCTTTGTTGTTGTTTGTTTGTTTGTTTGTTGTTTGTGTGGGAAAAAAAATTATTGAAACAAATAAAAAAATTTTTCCTTAAAAAATTTATAACACGCGACAACTAAAAATCGTTTTTTTTTTTTTTTTTTTTTTTTTTAATAAAATAAAACTTATTTTAAAAAAAAACGCGGCGGGGGCGGGGGCGGTGGAGGCTGGGGCGGAGGATAAGTGAAAGGAAAAATGAATTTAAAGTTGGCGGTTTTTTTACCCGGCGGCACCGGCGGTTGACCTAACTTGACAACGGTAATAAAGAAAAAGTTTTTTTTTTTTTTTTGTGTATTTCTTGTCATTGTTTTTATTATTATTATTATTATTATTAATAATTTAATTATAATTTTCGACCTTTTAAATCGTAAATTATTGACCACCCTTCACTCCCATATTTTTTTTTATTATATATTTAAAATTATTCAATGCCACGAGTGAGAAAAATGACTAAAAAAAAATTTTTTTTCTTCGAAACGATCCTCAGAATTTTTCCAGAAGAATAATAATAATAATTCAAATTCTTTTCCCACAATTTTCCTTTTTTCTTTTCTTTTTGGCAGCTCCCCGTATGCGTTTTATTTGTTTTTCTCTTCTCCGAAACGTAATCGGAGGTCAGTGACATTGAAAAAATTTGTCACAAAATTTAAATTTTAAAATTATTATCACGTTGAATATAAAATACCTGGAACCATTTTTTTTTTGTTTTTCCAGTCACGAACGATCCATAATAATTTTCCAATCCTTTCGTTCGTTATGGAATTGCAAGGAAGGAAAAAATACGTCTCGAGTTCAAACCGATTATTTTTTTTCGCCGCCATTTTTTTTTCGCATTTAATCATTTAATTAAGCTATCGGTAAAGCAAACGCAAAAACTAATAATAATAATAATAATGATAATAATAATAATAATAATGAAACGAAGAAAAAAAATAAAAATTGCTTAAACATTTACATTAGAAAAATAAAAATTTAATTATTATTATTATTATTATTTTTTTTTTCGAAATTAAATAACGAATTTTTTTTTTTTTAAATAATTAATTACACGTCAGTTTTACCGATTTGATAATTACAAATTCTACAGACACGTCTTCCCATGGATTTTTTTTTTATTTTTTCGTGACGTAATTACTCGGAGTGTAAAAAAAAAAAAAAAAAAAAAAAATGGTCGGAAGTTTAAATTAATTAATTAATTTTTTTTTTTTAATTTTGTCAACCGAATGAAAAATTTTAATGATTTAAATTCAATACAAACAAACGAGCAAACAAACAAATAAACAAACGAAAGTGGAAAACAATTCCGATTGTTCAGGGAAATTTTTTTTGATGATTTTAAAACAAAAATTAAAAAAAAAAAAAGTCGAAAAAATTTTCCGACAATTTTATAACTGAAAATTTTCTTTTTTAATTTTCTAATCCCACGTTATCAATGACGAAACCGACTGGAATTGTGTATTATCAATTCCTTTTTCCGACAAACAATAAAAAAAAAAAAAATCATTCCGTTTAATTAAAATATCTCTCTCAAAAAAAAAAAAATTGAAAAAATAATTTTTATATTATTGTCGCAGATTTAAATAAAAAACTCAACCTTGGCCTTTGCTATCATGTAAGAAGGTATCATCGAGCAAGAAAATGATGATAGTTACATTATTACGAATAATAATAATAATAATAATAATGATAATGATGATGATAAAACAATAAAAAATAAATAATTAAATAAATGAACTTTGTCACAGGGTGATGATGATAGATTCTGATTATTTCAAAGGCGTTGATCCAAAACAAATAAATAAATAAAAAAAATAATCAATACGCAACTAACTAACTAACTAACCATAGCAAATTATTTGCTAAATAAATTTTCCAAGGATTAAATTATGTAACTTAAAAATTTAAATAAATAAATAAATAAATTTTCATTAACATCAAAATTAATAATAATAATAATAATGTCATTCATTGATTTCTATTTTAACTCATTTCAAATGATAATAAATTCATTTATTACTCAGACTTTAACGGTTTTTTTTTTTTGTACGTTTTTAACAATTGAACGGATTTAAAACGAACGTTTCGTTTAGAATAAAATACGTCACAATTCGATGACGAATTATTATTATTATTATTATTACCAAACAGTTTTTTTTTGTTTGTTTCGTAATAAAGTCGACGACGGAATAAATTTTCACGTTCAATCAATTAATTTAAAAAATTTATAATCCGCGAATTAGATTTACAAATTTTTTTCTTTTTCCTTTTATCAAGCAAGCTACTATTTGAATTAAACGAGCGCAAAAAATACGCGTCGTCACGTTGCAGACAGCAAAAGATTATTAAAATTTAAAAAAAAAATTTTTTTGCATATATTTATATATATTTTTTCCCCTTTCGCGCGAATTATTACATTCGACGTTTACGTTTTCACGTTAAAAGAAAAATAAACACGTCGATAAATCGATAAATCGTTTATTTTTTTGCTAACGATATATCGAACGACAATCGATCGATTGATAACTTCATTACCGCGAATAAAACGAACGTTTAAAAACTATTTGGAATATTTTTTTTTTTTTTGACACAATTATTATTTTTTAAATCGATTTGTTATTACATAATTTTTAGTGACGTAATTAAAACGACGTAAAATTTAAACAAATAATAATAATGATAATAATAATAATAAAGAGGATATTCCGTTTTTCTTACTGTAATTCAACAAAAACTAAAAATAAATTTTTTGCTTTTAGTAAGCAATCAAGTTGCAAAAATCGAAACCTTGAAATAAAATAAAAAATTATTATTATTATTATTATTATTATTATTAGTATCATCATCATCACCATCATCACTATCATCATCATCATCATCATCATCATTATCATTGTCTTAGCGTACTTTTATTCCGGAAAAAAATGAAAAGCTTAATAATAACGCATATTCGCCATTATCATTTGTTTCTTATATTTTTCTAATAGTAATAATAATAATAATAAAATTTAACAATGAACCTTTTAGTTAATTAATAAATAATGACTTGACAAAAATCTAATAGCAGAAGAAAAAAAAAAACTTATTTGGTTTTAATGAATGGTGGAGGAAGAGAGGGGGAGAGAGAAAGAGAGAGAAAAGTATGGAAAATGAATTATGGAGAATTAATTTATAATTTATTTATTGGTGACTAATAAAAACTTTTTACGCTCCCTCCCCCCGGATATGATGATCACATTTTAAATACATTGGGAAAATTATTATTATGTGTTTTTTCTTTTTTTAAAATAAAAATAACCGCCATATTTAATTTCTTTAGGTCATTATGCCCGTTCATTACTTTCTTACTCGATATTATTATTATTATTATTACAACTACCCGAAATAGATAATACAATGAATGAAATGATTTTGAGTACGATACGATTTGTCTACAAAAAATCTTATTATTATTATTATTATTATTATTATTAAAAATATGGCGTCCGTTGGCTTTTTTAACTTTTCTATATCACAGATATTTGGAAATATTGAAAATGGGAAAATTCGAAAATTTTTTTCAAATTAAATTCATTCGAAATTGACAAAATGGTAAAAACGTTATAAATTATGACGTCATCATTCATTAACGCTTCCGTTTTTTTCCCGCCATTTTTTTTTTTTTTTTTAAATTTAAAATCAAAACTTTTTTTTCAAAACAAAAAGGAAAAAAAATTCGATCGCGTTTTAATCATAAAAATTTTTTTTAAATTTGAAATTTAATTATTATTATTATTATTATTATTATTATTATTATTATTATTATTATTTATGCGTTTCTTAAAAAAAAAAAAATCCATAAAAAGGTAAAGGGCCAGAAGGAAATTTCTAGAAAAAAATCGTTTTCTGATATTGGGAAAAAAAAAGAAATCATATCGAATTCAAACAAATTTGTTTTTCGTTTGTTTGTTTGTTTGTTTCATTTGTTTGTTTTCTCTCCGGATTCGTGCAAATCATTTTAAGAAATAAAAACACAAACATTTAACGACGCGATAACTGCATTAAATTATTATTATTATTATTATTATTATTTACTTTTTTTTCCGTGGATTTAAATAAAATTTTTCAAAAAAAAAATCGAATTGAACGATAAAAAAAAAATTCAAGTGACGTCACAAATTTTAAAAAATTAAATGCCCGGAAGGAGGGTGAGGGGGAATGAGGGGGGGGAGGGAAGGAGGAAGGGGTGTGAGGGTTCGTTGAATCAACAAAAAAAAAAAAATTTTTTTTACAAAAATCGAAATTATCGCGCGTAAACGGACGTTTCGTTTTATTGCTCTCTGTGCGATAATATTAATAATAATAATAATAATAATAATAATAATAATAATAATAATAATAATAATAACTATC